TAACAAAAATGAAAAGAAAAAAAAATATATTGAAATAATGAATGTCTCTATCATTAATTACAATAAGAACATTCAGATATAGATCTGATATATTTTATCGAGTCTTGACCTACTATTATGGTGTTATACTTGATCTAATTCCATTCTCTTTACTGATACTACTATAATGTATTTACTGATCTTGACTCTCTCGATATATATATATATATATATACATATATATACATACGTACCTTCCTCATATCCTAAATTACAAATATTTATTTATATAAAGGTAATATAATTTTCAATTTTTCTCTATTGAAATGATCTACTTTAAAATAGTTTAATGAAAATGATCTAATTTGCCTAGATAATTGCTGATAAGAAGAAGAAGAAAAAGAAGAAGAAAGAAAAAAAAGAAAAAAGAAAGAAAAAACAATATCCAATAATTACGTTTGCCATTGCAAAAGTTGCATCTACATGGTATTACACATACGACATATCGTCCTTTGAATAATAACTGGAGAACAAAAAAAAAATAAATAAATAAATAAATAACATTTATTAATACTACGTTAATATCTAATACATTTTTATTCCTTAAATTAGTATATTTGTTTTTATTTTTATTTCTATTTATTTTTTTTTTGTTTTGTTTTCTATAATATCGCGATAATGGAAATGATTTCCTTACTTAAATAAAACTCGGTTACGTACTACAGTAGACACCTGTTGTTTCAAACTCAATGAAGTTCGTACGTTAGGTGGGGGAGAGAAACCGTTCTGTATGGAAGCAAGCTGTGATTCCTCAGCAGTGGTTTGTACATACACAAGACGTAAAGGTAGAGAGAAGGAAGAGGTAAGGTATCATAGATAGATGTCGACCCGAGGACCTACATTCACCATCATCACAAGAGATGTCTGGAATGCCGTGGACACGTATGTACACATATGTACATATATATACCTATATATATATATGCTACATATACATTGATACCTATATATGCACGTATTCACTACTTAGAGAAGTATTTAACTCAAATACTAACGCGCCCATCTTCATTTTCTTAAGACTGTTCACTATCTTTTATTCGAAGCGTGTGTGACTTCAGCGACAGCTATGGACAAAATATGAACTACAAATACAAGCGGGGAATGCTAATCCCCCCACCACCATGCGGTATATAAGTTTATCTGGTTATTCCCCTCTCACGCATTAATAACAATCGGTCTCGTGTGTTGGTTAGAATAAGTAGTGTTATTAGTAGAACTGAACTCATACTTTTCACTCATTTCATAGGTATAGCTTTCTTTGATGATAGCCTGTGTCTCGCAATGATTCGTGCTAGTAACAATGTTGATACGCATTTGTTTTAAACTATGATAAATGCATAGGAAATAAATAAATATTATTGACATATATAAAGTATATAAAATCTATTGTAGAATATATTATATCAATAGGACATTATTTCAAAATTTTTCTTCTTGTGAAAAAAAATTCAAAACAATATTTACATCATCAAAAAGAACAGTAATTATTCTCAATAAGTTTTGGTGAACGATCTCTTATTTTAAGGAGAAAGATTTAATAATTCAAAAAAAGAAAAAGAAAAAAAAAAGCTTTGTATTTATATACAAACTATTCTCAAACAAAAAAAAAAAAATACCGATCCTTGATCCTCAAAGAAAATAAATCTTTTTTAAAAATCGATAGATTAAAACTTTTTTTTAGATTTAAAATGAAACTTCGTTTGTCAAAATCGGTCAAGAATTACGTCTGTTCTCCTTGATGGCGTAAACTATTGAAAAAGTAGGGGTAGTGAACAGCCTTAAGGTAATCGTGTCCGAGTACAGTCATCGACAGACTTAGTGCGTCTCGTTTTCGAATTCCATCGTTCAGAGATTCCATTGGAGAAAATAATCCTTTCCAAATCCAAATTTTCTTCTAAATCTATCCTCCATTTCCATTGGAGGGATATATATTAAGAGATATCAATGAAAAAAAGCAACGAACAAATATACAAATAGAAAAAGAAACGAATCATCATCATCATCATCATCATCATCATCACCATCGTTGTCGTTATAGTTATCATCATCTTGAAAATAAAGAGTAAAGATGGAAAGTGGTAGATTCCGTCGTTCTTAGTGAGACTAAATATGGTCGTCCCTAACTCTTAAGAAATGTAGGTCTCTCTCTCTCTCTCTCTCTCTCTCTCTCTCTCTCTCTCTCTCTCTCTCTCTCTCTTTCTCTCTCATTCACTCACTCTTTTACACAGGTAGAAATTCTGTGTAAAAATTTTACAAGATCGCTAACTCATAATATTAATGACTATGACGTTTGTAAAGATCGTAAAAAAAAAAGAAAAAAAAAAAGAGGTAAAAATATTTTCAATTCAAATTTCCTACGTTTACATTTACTGGGAATAAATAATTGTTAACATTTAACGGGAGAAAAAAAATGCTTAGTAATGATCGAATTAATGAAAAATGATTACGGTCGAATGAGATTTTATTATACATTTGGAAATTAATTGCATTTGCTTTCTTTTTTGGTTTTTTTTTTTTTTAATGCGATGTTTTTTTTAACGATTCCGTATCTTTTTTATAATGAATAACGTGTGCTTGCAGCATTTTTCTTATCTTATTTTATTAAAAATATTATTAGTAATAACGTAATGAATTCTTTTAATACGTCTATTTACGTACCTTTTTCATTTTCTTTTTCTTTTTTTTTCCTTTCTTTCTTTTATAAACTCGTGACCCCTCAGCTTCGGTAGGTAGAAGTTGTGAAGATAAAATTAAAATCGACGAGTTTACAGGAGGCTCTTTAATTATAATAAATGAAAACTTTAGAATTCGAATAATTATTAATTATACGATAATCTGAATGTGATTTTGATTATTATTTGTAATATATATATATATATATATAATACTAATTTATATTCCAATATTGAAATAATATATATCTATATATTTTTTAAAATAGGCTTTAATCATTTGTGTGAAAATTATCTGATCTTTATTAGACATGATTTTTACGGACAAAGAAATTTTGCTTCTCAAAACTTTGGAAACAATTTCGTGTACAAAAAAAATAAAAAAAAAAGAAAAAAGTACAAAATCTTTTTTCATTGAAATGGGCCTTTTTTTTGAAATAAAATTGGACAGAAATTCTTATCATGATAATTCATGGCGTAACTTTGTAAACGCATACGAAGAGAATCCTCTTAATACTTAATACTTTTAAAGCACCATTGATTTCATTCAATGAACGAGTTCAGAAAGCTGAACGTTTATCACGAGCGTTCATTGTATTCCGGAAGTATTTAAAAATAATAAATGTTTATCTAACAGTAACATTCGCCCATTAATTTTTACGTAAAAACAAACAAAAAACAAAAAAAAGTATATATATATTGTAATAGGCTGTAATATTTAAAAAAATATTTCTCTTTTTTTTTTTTGACACGTCTGTTTTCATTTATTTAAAATCATATCATATCTTATAGTTTAAACTCTATATTATTATTATTATTTTTATTATTATTATTATTATTATTATTATTATTATTATTATTATTACTACAAGCATATGCAAGAAGACATACATTTTACTGATAATTTCTCGTTCGAAATATATTTGTGATAATATTTAAAAGTATATATAATTATAATTATATATAATATATATATATATATATATATATATTATATATGTATATATATACACACGTTAGTATATATATATATATATATATATATATTGTAAAATTGCGGAAACCACTTACGACGACGTACTTACAATAGCTTGTAATAAATTTTCGCTTATGTTCTTTTTTTTTATTTTTTATGATATAGGGGAAGAATTATTTATATTTAATTAGAGATTATTATTTTTTTCTTTTCTCTCTTTTTCTTTCTCTCTCTCTCTCTCTCTCTCTCTACAAAGTTATTAATTATATAAATAAGTTCTCACACATTTAAATTCTCTCTCTCTCTCTCGCTCTCTTTCTTTTTCTATTACTCTCTTCACGAAACGTACAAACAAGCACGAATGAAGATTTGCACAGTATTTTATTGACAAAAATATAAAATAATCAGTGAAAGTTGGATTCTCCTACATCATTTAAAAAAATTGAATAATGTAAGCGTATAAACAATAAAACGAAGTAAGTGTATATACTGTTGTGTTAAGACCCCACACAAAAAGGGGGGGTAGGAGTTTTGAAAGGTAATCGATTATGCAACTTCTATATTGAATCAGGAAATCTGGTCTTTATTTCCAAAAATATCTCACCCACTTCTGGAACTCAGCTCAAAACTGCCTGTAAATACAAAATAAAACCTGTGAGAACTTCCCCCTGTGACCAATGATAATGAAAATTTTACATTTCCGTCACACGATGTGATCTACACGAAACAATCCTTTCCCTTTCTTTCTTTCTCTCTCTCTTTCTCTTTTTTTTTTCCTTTTTGGCAAGACAAACTACTAATCTTTATCAAATAATACATATTTTTACGTCTTATAATTCTTGTCTTTCTTTCTATTTCCTTTTTTTTTTCTTTCTTTCGTCTATTTTTGGTAATACGATACGAATCTCTAATCACAACATATCACATCACATTGAGAAGAATTGTTAATTTTAAACAATAGATAATATATACTCATGAAGAAAATACAAAGGAAATAATTATACTTGGTTCGCATAAATATGTTTATATCTTCGTTCGACGCTCATTAATCTTATCTATATATATATATGTATATATATATATAATAAATTAATCTGAATGCCACACGCAAGATTATTTTCATTAAAAGTTTTTACGTTTTTTCCTAAATTTTTTACGTAGAATCTACGATCTTACGATCTACGAATATTAATTGTTACATAGGGTGTGTTGTACCTCGACCCAATTGCATCAGCACACGTTGATAAATCATGAGAAAATAATACATTCGGAATCATATGACGAGTCCCCTCTTTTTTAAAGAATCAGATTTATTTTTCAAATCAGCATAAAACTTAATACAATAAATAATATTACAAATAGTGTAATGCATTCGCGTAATAGAGTGTGTAGTAGTATGCCTCCCGACGCAAATGGGTCTCTAAAATGTTTTATCCGCTATGAAAGAGATAGATTTTCACAGTATGCGCAGTTGTGTCCATTCAGGGTTGTCATTGTAAGCTTGTAAATACTTTGTTAACTAAAGTCAATAGTAAAGAAGAGAAAAAAGAAATATATATATAATATATATATATATTCACATACACACACACACGTATATATATATATATATATACATATATATATATATATATGTAGTAATAAAGACCACGATTAAAAGGTCAAACATTTTATTGTATATGTAGTATGCACCTGGGTTTATTTGGATATACAAAAATTCATACCATCTAAACTTTTGAATTTACATCTCCTGCGACAACGCTTGTGATTAAAATACCCCTTCCAATACCCAACTAAACCTCTACTTAAACAAACAAGTTGTAATCGCGGTGATCGAAGCATCGATGAAAGACCGTCGACGACGGAATGAACTTTACAGGTAGAAAATGCTCGATTAGAGACGGACGAGATAAAAATCTTTAGAAGAAACTTAAAAATATTGACAATGATCAGAACTATGGTGCAATAAGTCCATGGATGCATTTGAATAATGCAAAATCTTGACCTGTCACAATGATATGTAAAATGCAAGCACATCGTGCCTGTCGCTCTATAGTGATGATAGGTATTTTAAGTAATACCATTAACGTAATATGAATACTAGTATAGTAAAAGTTATAACAGTCGAAAAATTAAGTTTTCGTAGAGTGATAGCGATAGTACTGCTTTTGGTATAGTAGTAGTAGTAGTAGTAGTAGTAGTAGTAGTAGTAGTAGTAGTGGTAGTAGTAGTAATAGAGTAGTAATAGCAGCAGAGAGTAGCAGAGTTAAAACAGTAGTAATAGTAGCAGAGAAATAGCAATAGTAGTAGTAGTAACAGTCGTAGTAGTAGTAGTATAGTAGTAGTAGTAGTAATATAATAGTAATGATAATGGTAATGAGCGTAATGGGTATATAGCGGTGAATGGTAGTGTTGGTAGTGTTTAGTGTTAGTTTTGTAGTGTGACTGGAATAATGTAGTGTGTTGGTAATAATGGGATGTGGTAATGGCGTTGGAGTAGTGATAGTGTATAGGGTGTAATTGTTTAATGGCAGTAATAATAGTATTAAAATGGTATACTAATAGTATTCTTAGTACAATAGATAATTATTCTTGTATACCTATTCTCATAATCTGCTATTATCAAATGAAATTAAGATGACAACCTCAGAATATTTTGGTAAATCACGTTTACATAAGCAATACAGTTCACCAACTCACTCTGTGTATACTCACACACCATGAGAGATCAGATGAGAGCTCCTTATTTTCACTTACTTTTTATTTTTTTTTCGTATTATAATGATTTTTAGCCAATGGACGTGCTTAGATTAAGTCAGCGACGTTCAATGGCATCTCATCTATGTGGGTGTTGTAGAATTGCTCTATATCTTTCAGAGTTCGCTTATCGTCCTCTGTAACGAAATTAACGGCTACTCCTTTACGGCCGAAACGACCACCGCGACCAATTCTGTAACAGGTTGAAAAGTTATAACTTTGTAAATAAAGATTATTCTCTAAAAACGATAAAAACAACAAAGAAAAAAAAAACTTTACTTATTGCTTTCTATTAAAAATTATAATAAAAAAAAAAAATTAAAAAAAAATTAAACATGTAACTGCAAATCTTCTCAATATTTATCTGAAAGATAATTCTCATAGATGTATATCGATAGATAAGTTATCATTAAACAAAGAGCGAGAATCGGTTATCGAGCGATTGCGTTTAAATAATAAGATAGTATAGAGTTTAATAAAAAAGAAACTAAATTATTAAATTGCATATTCATTTGGTACATATAGAAATATTATAATATACGACGATAGAATATTATTTTTTTACCTGTGAATGTAATTTTCTCTATTGGAAGGTAAATCATAGTTGATTACAAGAGACACTTGTTGTACGTCGATACCACGTGCCAATAAATCAGTTGTAATAAGAACACGAGATGAACCAGTTCGAAACTGTCTCATAATAAGATCTCTTTCTTTTTGATCCATATCTCCATGCATCGCAGAAACCGTAAAATCACGGTGATGCATATTATCCGTCAACCAATCGACCTTACGTCGTGTGTTACAAAAGATAACAGCCTGAGTAATACTCAGTGTATCGTATAGATCACATAAGGTCTCCAATTTCCATTCTTCACGTTCAACGAAAACGAAGAATTGTTTAATACCCTCCAACGTCAATTCTTCTTTCTTCACCAAGATTCGAACTGGATTTCGCATAAAACATTTGGATACATCCAATACATCTGCTGGCATTGTAGCAGATAATAATATAACCTGGAAAAAAAAAAAAGAAAAGAAATGAATAATTTTTTTTTTTTTTTTTTTTTTTTTTTTTTTTTTTAAAGCATAAACTACCCCAAGTATATGTGCGTTATCATTTTTAGATGATATATACTTTTGAGAAAGCATTATATATATATATTTGTCATTTGGATGAGACACTGCGACATCATACGTGACATATGCAAAATTAGTAAAATGGAAAATCATGTTACTTTTTGATACGTATAGATATATTATATATATATATATATATATATATATGAATTATTATAATTCATATTTTTGTATAGGGCGTTTTAATCATATTTGAAATGAAATTAATAATACCACGTTATTATTCCTAATATTTAAATTATATCAATGTAATAGAAAGATCTCAAAGAAGAAATGAAATGTATCAAAAATCTTTACGATGTACCCCTATTCAAGATACCACTAATATAACGCACCTGTATTTTATAATACATTTATAAACTTGACTATAATAATGTATGGCTATACTGCAACTTTTCGTCTTGTATGATTTGTTGACTTGTCCAAAAGACATTTTCTAATAATTGAAATAAAGTCAACAATTAGAAGACTATATTTATATAACTCTGGTCTTGGTTGCGAACAACGTTTGAACGTACCTGCACTTCTTGGGGTAATAACTTGAATACATCATGAATTTGATCTTTAAAACCACGCGAGAGCATCTCATCTGCTTCATCCAGAACAAACAGTTTAATGCTACCAGCCCTCAATGCTCGTCGACTGATCATATCATAAACTCTGCCTGGTGTACCGACGACTACATGAACGCCTTGATCCAATTTTCTCATATCTTCGCGTACATTGGTGCCGCCAATACATGCGTGACATTCTGCATGCATAAAATCTCCCAAAGCGATAACAACTTTTTGAATCTATAGAAAGAGAGAGAGAGAGAAAGAGAGAGAAAAAATAAATAACAATCAACATTACATATTGTTTTACATTATATTTTATATATAAAATATTTTTTCTTTTATTTATTCTTTTTCTTTATTAATCAAAAAAAAAAAAAATATATATATATATATATATATGCGAACTCACTTGTTGTGCAAGTTCTCGAGTTGGAGCCAATATCAATGCCTGACACTCTTTAATATTTGTATCGATTTGTTGAAGAATAGATATAGAGAACGTAGCAGTTTTTCCAGTTCCTATAGATCATAATTAAAAATTTTTTTCTTATTATTAACAATCTGTTAATATAATCTTAAAAAAATTTTTATGTAACGAATATATCTTTTACCTGACTGGGCTTGAGCAATAACATCGTGTCCCCTAATACATGGTAGGATGGCACGTTGTTGTATAGCGGATGGTTTTTCAAAGCCATAAGCATAAATACCACGCAAAAGTTCTTCTTTAAGGTTCATTTCATCGAAATTGTCCACAACCTAATTAATATAGAATTTTATATAATGTATTTATAAATCTCTATAATTGTTTTTTTTTCCTTTTTATATAAAACAGCTTATATGTACTGATTGTAGTACTTTTCTATATCCATTAATTTATATATAATACAATGATAAAACTTACAACTTCCCAGTTAGATTCAATGATCCCATCGGGCTCCATGCCTGGAGGCCCATTATATGCAGGTGGTTCACTTTCGCTGGGTCCATTTTTGGAGTCTCCTGACCATTGTTCATCGTTCCTACAATTTAAATACAATTAACAGCTTGTACATATAATAATGAACTATGATATAAGTCATGTTAACATCAATTGATATAATTATTATTGTCAGGATATAATTCAATAAGAGCAATCATTGTTGGTACTAAATAGTTGAAAAAAAAAAGAAAGAAAGAAAGAAAGAAAGAAAGAAAAGAATGTATGTAGAAGACAAATGGTCAAATTAATCAAGAATTATCTAAGTAAATATATTTTGATACAAATAAAACATCTTATATATCAATAATATTTGATATTCTTAAAATATTCTCTCAATAACAAAGGCATGAAATTACAAAATGTTTCTCATACATATTTCCTCAAGGAAAAAAACAAAAAACAAAAAAAAAAAAAAAAAAAAGAGATATTGATTATGAAGTATCTGTAATACAAATTGAAAATGATCCATTTAAAAAGTGATATATAATATATAATGTAAGAAAAGAAGAAAAAAAAGGAAAAAAAAATCTATATGCATTCCTAATTATAAAAAAAAAAAAAAGAGCTGACCTACTGAGAATAAAGAAGACAACGTAATATGTAAATTCAATGTAATTTTTTAAAATATAAATGAAAAATCATATGTAAAAAAGAAAATGGGAAAGAAAAACAAATATTTGATGATCACTTGATGGCTGCTGCTGCACTGACAGTGACTCACGCGTACGTATGACTAAGGAATGGTCGACATTTTATCACAACTCACGCAAACTCAAATCGTTTCATTTTTGCATTCAATGAATAACCTAAATCGAATAAATAATCGTATCCTTGTCGGACGGCATTAGATCAAAATATAAATTTTCTTACGTAAAGCTGATAAAATATTAATGAATAAAACTAATAATGAGTTTTGTACACGTCGTGCGGCACGCGGAAATTTTCTAAGAAAAATCACGACCATTTGGATATATCGAAAATTCGTCGATAGATATCCCATCGAATATTTATGTCGTTATACGAAACGATCGTATCGTATTTGGCATTAGAAGAACGAAATCGATGAATAGGAAAAATACGAGTTAATATTGCAAACAATGTGACAAAAACGAATGCACGCCATGTTGTCAGTCTCGTGGCTCTCGTGCATTCGTCGTTTGCCGCACTATTTTTCGTAAATGTAATCCGAACGAATGCCGTTCTATCGTCTATACCACGAGATCGACGATAATTCGTAATAAAGGAAGATTTTCTATGGTAGAAAATTTCTTATGATTAACGCGATTATATATGAAAAATCGAACTTACCTTCGTTCAGATGTATGCGACATGTTCCACTCACGGTAGGTCGACGGAAAGGACGAGTTCCTATTGCGTCACAAGGAATATTCTTGTGAACGCCGCACAATGGCGCTGCGAACGGTTCAAAGAAAATTGACAAATTTTTACAATAACACCTAAACGTTTTAACACTTGTATTATGATCTAAGTTTTTTTTCTAACTATTAATTTCCTTCTATTCCGTATGTATTTATTCTTCCGTGTCTCGATGATTTTTCATATTATTTTTCTTCTACGGCGGACACTGCGCGCAGAGGGGAAGTTACGTCGATTACCCAGCGTACCTAGCGCCAATTTCGGAAGATGTCTGTTTGGTGCGAACAGTGAAACAAGATCATACAAATATGTATGTTTATTCTTTAAAAAATTTTTTTTCTTTTTTTTCCCTTCTTTTTTCTTTTTTTTTTTCCCAATCAACTTTTGTCAATCAACGTTTCTATCAATTTAATATTATCCATTAATATTTGTCCGTGAGATAGGTTATTTGGTTAACTTTAGATTTTTCTTTTTCTTTTCTTTTCTTTTCTTTTTTTTTTTTTTAAATTTTTACTTTCATACGACGACCGTCGCGCCTTAATATCAATTTAAATACAAGAATAACTAAATTACGATACTGCAAATGTTATTTTCATTTTAATCGAGTTCATAGTCTGTTTCTTCCAATTAATTTAAAAGGTAATCACGTTTATTTTGTCATTTAATATTTGAAATAATCGAATTTTAACAAAAAGTTTATAATATATATTATGTTTAAAATTATTTACTTTTGTTCATTTTAATGTTGATTAAAATTCTTTTTCTTTTATAACATTATATCATCTTTCAATTTAAAATATCTAATATATTAAAAGTAACAATCTATGAATGAATATTTAAAAAGACATTCATAATCTTAATTCTTTATTTATTTGTACATATTGGATTTTTGTTATATCACTTTGCAAAAGTATATAACATTTTCCTTTATGAATATCAAATATAATAATTAACAATATAATAATGATATATTTGATGATTTAACATTTGAAAATCTTTAACATCTTTTTATACAACCATTGAAATGAAAAAATATTTCCTCTCTTTCACACAATTTTAGGCAAACATCTATTGCACTGATATGGTAATTCGCTGTTACTTATACACATTTTATTGCAAGACTATATTATTTATAAAAATATGTCCAATTTTCTTATGTATATGGTTATATATACATATATATATGTGTATATATATATATATATATATGTGTGTGTGTGTACAATAATGTACATAAATCAGATTTTTGATATAAAATAGTTATAACACAATATAGAGTATTGTGAGTATTTAGATTTTTGCATTATGTACAAACATCTATCACATCTTCCTGCACATTCCATATTTTACATATTTTAAATATTTAGATTTACATATTAATATATATATATATATATATATATATATATATATATATATATATATATGTATGTATTAATAATCAAATATATATTCTCTAATCATATTTTTAACGTTTTCTATATATAATACATTATTATAGATTTATTTTCAGTCAACAATATCTTATATATAATATCTAAATCATAAAATATATTATCTATATAATATAATCTATAATCATCTCTATTTTCAAATTAAATATATATATATATATATATATATATATATATATATATATATATATATATAACTGTAATGCATTTTTATAAATCTTTACATAAATGCACAACCGAGTATAAAGAATAATACTGCGATTGGAAAAATAACATACACACCCATTCGTGGGTGACAAACTGATATTAATAAACTAATCTCATCTGGATCAAGATCTATACCATCTTTAGTTGGTATTTCCACGATTACTCTATCAGGTGACATTAGATCTAATGAAAACGAGCACTCTGTTTGATTTATACAAGACTTAGTAACATTTTCATATTGAAAAGTTGGTTTATAGATATCAAATAGTGCATGTATATCGTTTGAAACAAAATCATTATCACTATAAAAAATATAATAATAATATCCATCCTCTACAACATCATGTTTCGTTTCCATATGTTTTCCATTAACTAAATAATCAACATTAATACATTTATCAGAAGGTTCAAATTCTTTTGTCAAAAGAATTGAACCTTCATAACAATTAAATAAACCATTTTCAAAACTGGATACAGATGATGCTTCATTAGAATTAATTGTATTTTTATCAGCATTTCCACCATGCTTGATACCTTGATCAAGTAATGAAGGTGGTTTCATAAGTTCTTGATTTCTCTTTACTCTAACATTAACTAACTTATTTTCTAATTTTTCATCTAAATCATTTTCTAGATTGTCATTATCATCATGTTCCATATTTAATTCCATTTTCAGCCTTTCAATTACATTTTTATGATTTACCATTTGTTTTTGATTATGTATATTCATTTTTGAATCTTTCCTTCTTATACTTTCACTTTCATCCTGTATAATAGTTGATTTCCTTTTTAATTCTTTTTCTTCTTTCAACTTTCTCACTTGTTCATTAAATGTTTTATTAAACCATCGTTTAGATCTAATTTTTTCAATAAATTCATGATCCTTCGTTTCCTCCAACGTTACAGGTACTTCCATTGTATCATTTTGAGTTTCTTTCATATTATTAACTAAAAAATTATTCAAGTGCATAGATTTATTTATAGCTGCCAAAAATTTCTCCCGATTAATGTCATTGAGATTATCTATCGTTTGTTCATTGTATGTATCATTAGAACTTTGTTTTGTATTATCTTTTTTGATAGGATCATTAATTTCCTGATTCATGTCTTCAACAGAATTGATTTCTTTCATATGCGTTTCGAATGTAATTTTAACTTGATCCGCATCTGGTAGGAACATATCCGTTATACGTTCTTTGTTTTCATTTTGCTCCAATATCTCACAAGTACGTAAATTACGTTCACCTTTAACAACTAAAATAGAAGCTCCTTGGAACCTAAATAACGATAATATTTTGTATAAGAATAACCATAATATATATCATTATGAATATTGTTTAAATATCATCAAAATTTATTATACTTCTAATTATATATTTACCTTGAGCATACAGAAAGAAATACTGTAGCACCTTTGAGCAGATAAAATCCCCAATATTCGAATGTATCATCTGGTAAATTCATACTCTTCTTTAATCGTATATGTTTTTTATATGATGCTATCTCAGGTCTATGCGACATTTGGAACGCATTAAATGTTGCATTCATTTGTAAAGTATGTTCCTAATAACAATACAAAAGGAATATAAAATTAATGGTATACTTTTTTTATTAACAAAAAGAAGAAGAAGAAAAAAAAAAGAAAAGAACAAAAAGAAAAAAAAATTAATTTCATCAAAGTATATTAACGTGCTAGGATATATAAAAGGTGTATATATATATATTAATTGTTACAGATATAATACAAAGGGTTTCATAAAGTACATGCAAAAGAAAAATATAAAAGTCTGAATCTTAGATGCAACATAGTTCTTACAGAACAAAATATTGTTGATATTCCATCATTGACCTCCAAAATATCAGACTCTGTAACAGCGTATGCTACATTAGCATAAAAACTGTGTCGCAGATAGAGAGGGATTAGAATAAGCATGGATGGTAGTACTGTTGTCAGTGTACAAAAAACTAATACTCTTTTGATACCATGCATTTTTTGTGTTGGGCCTATAAATATGAAAGGTACAATTAAACAAAATTAGTATCTAAAGTTGTCATTGTGTTAGAAAAATTTGTTCTATCTTAAAAAGGAAGAAGATAAACGAAAAAGAAGAAAAAAAGAAAGAAAGAAAGAAAGAAAGAAAGAAACCCCCACCCCCCCAAAAAAAAAAGAAAAAGAAGAAAAAAGAATTAGACAAATAAATATAAATTTTAATAAATTGTACATATGCGCAAATACACTGCATGCACGTGATCGTATCTATGTATAAACACATACACACACACACACACACATACATATATATATATGTGTATTTATGTTATTACAATATAATTTACACATGTAAACGCATATGTACATAAACATAAAGTGACATTTATATATATATATACATATATATATGTATATATATATGTATATATATAAATATATATATATATATATGTGTACATTTAGTAAATTTATAACACACTACCGTATTTATTAACACAAAGTTGTAATTAGAAGAAAAACCAGTTTTTTTAATAGTTATTAAAAACGTAATGTTATTTGAGAGAGAATTATTTCTTTGTGGAAACATGTGTGCGACGCTTTACACACACAGTAATTGACTATTGTACGTTAATAGCATGCGCAAGAAAAAGGCACCGATTAATGACTGCGAATGTTTGTAAATGTAAACAATATATGTACATTCTTTCGAAAACATACTTTTCTTCTTATATAGCTACAGTGACTGGTAAATTCTCCTTCCACTCATCATTTTATCACATTTAAAACGTATTATTTCTGAATCGTTATTGGATGACATCTTATCTCTCCGTGTCATGATATTGACTAAAAAAATATTTAAGCAATTGACCATATATGCATTTCACTTATCTCTTCTTCCCTATGCATTGAATGTGCATTATAAAGAGATGACCTTGCTTGATGCTTTCTAAATCTGTACATTTATAAGAGTGTATAGTATTCATATTAATAGAGAGTTAAAAATATTTTATTTTGTTTTTCTTTTTTAATATTATTATTATATATTATCTATAAAAATTCTCACTCTTTCTCTCTCTCTCTCTTTCTATATATATATATAAACATAATTTAAGAAGTTTTATTATATATACATACGTATAATAAAATAGTGTATGAATTTAATCATATAATTAATAGTTCTTTTTTTTTTTTTTTTTTTTTAAGTAATTACGTTGATATAATGTTAAACATATTTAAGTTAGCATGTATAATTAAGTAATATTAATATCAATAATTATATTTTATTAATAAGAATTAAAAGATATCAAGCATGCATTTTATTTGCACAATTGGTCATGAACTAATCATTTAATATGTTCGACTGATAATTGAGATTTCGACCGCCATCTAGTAACAGAAGGT